AGTGTAGAAAGGTTCCTTTCCCTCTGCAGCCTTGCCAGCATTTGTTATTATTTGATTTATTGATGGTAGTCATTTTTTTTCTGCAGTAAGGTGCAATCTCAGTGTTTTAAATTTGTATTTCTCTGATGATCAGAAATGTTGAACATTTCTTCATATATTTATTGTCCATTTGTACTTCTTCTGAGAAGTGTCTGTTCATTTCAGTTGCCCATTTGTTGATTGGATCTTTTATTTTGGCTGGTTTAACTTTTTTGAGTTCTTTGTATATTCTAGATACTAGTCCTCTGTCTGAGGAATAGCTGCCAAAACTTTTTCCCATTCTGTTCTGTTTTGTTTTTTTGGTACCGGGGATTGAACTCGGATCCTTGCGCTTGCGAGAAGGCAGCGGAACCACTGAGCTAAATCTCCAGCCCACTTTTTCCCATTCTGTAGGCTGTCTTTTCATTCTGTTGGTGATTATTATTATTATTTTTTTGCTGTGCAGAAACTGTACTTTGATATGATCCCATTTGTTGATTCTCAGCACTATTTCCTGTGCAATTGGGGTGCTGTTCAAAAAGTCCTTGCCTAAGCCTATGATTTCAAGAGTTATACCCATTTTGTCTTCAAGAAGTTAAGTGTTTCTGTTTTAATGTTTAGTTCTTTTAACTATTTTGATTTTAGTTTAGTACATGGTGAGCGATGTGGGTTGAGATTCAGTCTTCTGCACGTGGACAGCCAGTTTTCCCAGCACTGTTTATTCAAGAGTCTGTCTTTCCCCCAGTGTGTATTTTGGCCCCTTGTCAGAGACCAAATAGTTGATTGTGCTTGGGGTTGTTTCTGTATCCTCTCTTCTGTTTCATTGATCCTCCTGCCTGTTTTTGTGCCAGTACCATGCTGCTTTTATCACTGTAGTTTTGAAATAAAACTTCAAGCCTGGGATTGTGATGCCTTTCACTTTGCTCTTTTTACCCAGGACTGCTTTTGTTATTCTGGGTCTCACTGATTCTATATGAATTTTCAAATGTTTTCTCTAGTTCTGTGAAGAATGCTATTGGAATTTTGAGTTGGAGAGCCTTAAAATCTGTACATCAATTTTGGAAATATGGCCACTTTGACTATATTTGTTCTGCCTATTCAGAAACAGGGAATATCTTTCCATTTTCTAATGTTCTCTCTGATTTTATTTTTTAGAGTGCTATATTTTTTGTTGTAGAGGTCTTTCACTTCCTTGGTTAGGTTAACTCCTAAATATGTATATTTTTGTGCTATTATGGGTGGTATTTTTTCTAATTCTTTTCTTAGTGGGTTCTTTAAATGCTATTGATTTTTATGTGTTGATTTTGTACTCTGCTACATTACCAAATTTGATTATTACTTCTAAGAGTTTTTTGGTGGATTTTTTGGGTCTTGTATGTAGAGCATCGTGTCATCTATAATGATAATTTGATTTCCTCTTTTCCTATACATATCATTTTTCCGTGCATAATTAATATTGCTAATGTTTTGAGGACTATTTGAACAGGAGTGGTGATAGTGGACATCCTTGTCTAATTCCTGATTTTAGAGGGAAAGCTTTCAGTTTTTCCCTATTTAACATGATGTTGGCAGTAAGTTGCTCATGAATGACTTTTATCAAATTGAGATAACGTCTTTCTCTCCTTACGTTCTTCAGTGTTTTTACCATGAAAGGATGTTGGATTTGTCAAAGGCTTTTTCTGCATTATTGAGATAATCATGGATTTTTGTCCCTGCTTCTGTTTATGTGATATATTACATTTATTGAGTTGGATATGTTGAATCATCCTTGCATCCCTGGGATGAAGCAACTTGGTCATGATGTATAATCTTTTTGATGATTCATTACATTCTGTTTTCTGGTAGCTTGTTGAGGATTTTTGCATTTCTGTTCATTAAAGAGATTGGTCTATAGTTCTCTTTTTTGGTTGGATCCTTGTCTGGCTTTGGAATCACGATAACAGTAGCTTCCAGAAATGACTTTGGGGGTACTCTTTCTCTTTCAATTAAAGAGTTTGAGGAGTATTGGTGTTAGAACTTCCCTGAAGTTTTTATAGAATGCAGCAGTGAACTCATTTGGACCTAGGCTTTTCTTAGATAGTAGGTTTTTTACTATTGCTTCAATTTCTTTGCCTGTTATTGGATTATTTAGGGTTTTAAAATTTTCTTGGTTCTGTTTTGTTATTTCATATGTAGGAAATGATCCATTTCTCCTGAATTCTCCAATTTATTGGCATGCAGATTTGCAAAAATAGTTGCCATTTATCTTTTTGATTTCAGCAGTGTCCATTGTGACTTCATTTTTTTCATATTTAATTGCCTTGATTTGGGTCTTTTCTCTGTTTATTTATATTGGCCAAGAATTTGTCTTTTTTTTTTTTTTTTGGTACCAGGGATCCAACTTGGGACCTTGTGCTTATGAGGCAGGTGCTCAAACCACTGAGCTAAATCCCTGGCCCAAATTTGTCTATTTAGTTTATACTTTCAAAGAATCAAGTCTTCCATTCATTAATTCTTTTTACTTTAAAAAAAACCTCAATTTCATTGATTTCTGCTCTGATCTTTAGAGTTTCCTACCTTGTACTGGCTTTGAGTTTAGATTCTTCCTATCTTTCTGGTCCTTGAGGTGCATCATTAGGTTACTTATTTGGGCTCACTCTGTTTTATTGTTTATTTTTTAATAAGGGCCTTCATGGCTATAAATTTCCTTTTTAGGAATGCTTTCACTATGTCCTACAAGCTCGGGTATATTGTACTGGAATTATCATTAGTTCTAGAAACTGTCTCATTTCTTCTTTGATTTTTTTCTCTAACCCATTGTTTATTTAAGAGAGTTTCATTTATTTTCCATGCATTTGCATAATTTCTGTTTTCTTTTGTCATTGATTTCTAGTTTTGTCACTCTATGATCTGATAGTACGGATGGTATAATTTAAATTCTTTTACATTTACTTAAGCTTGTTTTATTGGCTAGTAGGTGTTCTATTTTGGAGAAGGTTCAATGTGCTGCTGTGAAGAATGTGTAATCTATTGTTGGGTGGAACACAATGTAGATATCCATTAAGTCCATTTATTCAAAGGTTTTGTTCAACTGTAATTCTTTTTGTTGATTTTTTTGCCTATTTGATCTGTCTATATGCTATAGTTCAGTATTGAGTTCCCCTATTATAATTTTTTTTTATGCTTATCTGGTCTTTTGTGTAAAGTAGTACTCGGTTTATAAAGTTGAGTGCATGTTTGTTCAGTGCATATATGTTAGCAATTATTATCTCTTCCTGTTGGGTTGTTCCCTTAACCACTATACCTCTTTTAATCAGTTTTGGTTTAAAGTTCACTTTGTCTGAATCTAAGATAGCTATGCCTGATTCTTTTCATGTTTTCACTGCATGGAATATTGTTTTCTAGCCTTTGATTTTTTTGTCTATGTGCTTCTTTTTGGTTTAATTGTGTTTCTTGTGTATAGTATCCCATTGGGTTTTGTTTCTTGATCCATTCTACCAATTTGTGTCTTTTTACTGGGGAACTGAGACGTTCAAATTGTTATTACTCATAGGTATTGACTTATTCCTGTCATTGCCTTATTTTTCTGTTGCTGATTTTCTATTTTTACCTTCTACTTGGTATATTTATTTGAAAAATTAATGGGTTGTAAGAAAGAGGAAAATGAGGGGCTTTTATTGAGTAAGAAAAATAAATTCATAGTGATAGGGAATAGTCATAGGAAAGAATGAATGAGAAAGAGAAGAAAAAAGATAAATATAGCAAAAACAGAAGACAAAGAAAGATAAGGAAGAGAAAAAGTTGAAAGGGAAATAGAGAAAATAAGATAAAAGAAGCTAAAATGTAGAGGAAAAGGAGAAAAAAAATCCAAATATCCAAAAATCCAATGAAGGAAAGACAAAAATAATACAAAACAGAAAAATAAAAAAAAAGATTAGGTCAATGAAAAAATTTCTGTGTTAAGGAGTGAGTGGTTTCTTTTCAAGATCTACAGTCTTGGAATCCAGCCAGTCACGATTTTCTATGCTTAGCCTTAAAGCCTATGGAGGTGCCCTCCCTGTCCATTCCTCCCAGATTGCTGTTACCATCCAAGCCAAAGTATGTCCTTGTTCCTGTTGGTAGATGGGGAAGGTGATTAGCCCTCTGGTTTCTGTTGGAGTTAGGTCATAGGGTGGGGGTTCGAGTGGGTTGTTGGACTTACTGTCCCCAGTCATGGAATCTGGTTGCTCTCTTCTCTTCTCCACATTGTCCTCATCCAGGACTAGGACAGTTGGGTAGTTCTCATCTCTGCTGCCCCCTGCCATGGAGAAGCAAGATGGGGGGGTTGGCTTTGAGTTGGTCGTGGGTTGCACCCTTGTCAGGAGGTGCTGTGCATTGGGCGGGGACCTGACTGATCCTGTGGGAAAGGGGTGCCATACCTTCTGCATGGGTGTCTTATTTTTGTGACCTTCTGAGATGAAATGTAGAAGACATCAGACTTTTCACTTCTCTCCAGGGGGGTTTGACTCAACCACAATCAGGTCAGTCAGTCGGTTGGCTCCTCTGTGACCTTGTGCTGAGGAGAAACAAAATGCCTTGCTGGCCAGAAGTTGGCTGGTGGTTGGCCAAGGTGTGAGATCCACCAGAATCTACTGCATATGGCTGGCTTTTCCTGTCACGTGGCTGCTAGACTTCTTTTTTAAAACAGGTGTATGTTACGTACTTTCAAACCATGTGAAGCAGCAGCAGAACATCCACACTGTCTAGGGAGTCACAGTGTACCATTTCTAGTGAGACCTAGATTTTAGCCTTTTTGGGTAGAAAGTGGTGTCTTTCTTGGGTGTGCTGTCTCAGCCTGAGGGACAGTTGTGGTATATCTATAATCTATAACTTACATGGATTATATAACTTATATCTATACTTCTGACATAAATTAGGTGTATTTTACTGCTAAATGACCAATCCCTTTTACTTTGATACCTGCTATAGCTCATATTCCTTGTATTTAATGCTTCCTCCCATACTGCAGAACTTGGATTCTGGCCGAAGTCTATACATTGCAGAAGCCTCTGGTCTGAGCTCATGGGACAAAGAAGCAGAAGCTTTCACTGTTGTAAAATTTCTCTCTCTCTCTCTTTTTTTTTTTTACTGACAAAGGTTTGGTGCCAACAGGCAAAGCAAAAAACATTTCAAGGCTTACATCTTCATTTTTACAGACTGGAGGAGAAAACTATGAATTTGGAAGCGAGACATAATAAATCGAGAGCTGGTAAAAACTCTGCTGTCAACCATCAGCAGCATTGTTTGAGTCTTGGTACGTTGATGCAGAGGAATGGTGTATGAATGAAAGCAAAGGTACTGATGTACATCGTATGAGGGAATCTCACAAACACGGTGTTGAATGAAAGAATCCAGACAGAAAGCAGACCCTGCATGGTTCCATTTATGTAAAATTCAGAGATCAACAAAATGAGTCTTGGCCGTTAGATAAAGGAGACTAGCACCCTTTTGTGGATTCCTAACAGGGGTGGTGGTCATGACAGGGAGAATGGGTCATCAGAGATGTGCTATGTCCTGACTTGGGGGCTGGTTTCTTGGGTTTGTTCGTTTTGTGAAAAATTTTCAAGCTTACTTACAACTTATGTGTATTTTTACATAGTCTATGTATACACAGATATATTAATTATAGTTAGTTACAAATACATAAACAGTGAGAGTGTACTTGTGCAGTCACATTTATTTTAGCAGTATTCCCACCTTCCTAGAAGTGGGTATCCTAAAGGTCAATTGTTGGTTGAAGGGATTAGCAAAGTGTAGTTCTGGGGCTGTACTTCAGTGGAAGAGCCCTTGCCCTCACTAGGTTCCATCTGAAACACTTGAAAAACAGTAAAAAATTTAGTATATATATATAACGAATGTTATGCAGCCTTTGAACAAGAGAAAATCTTATAATATGTTAAAGTTTGGATGAAGTTTGTTGTCAATGTGCTAAGTGGAGTAAGCCAGTCCTCAGTATGCAAATGGTACATCATGTCATTCATAGATGGTAGCTAAAATAGTTTGAGATACTTAGACAATAAAATTCTGGTTGTTGAGGGCAGGGCAGTTGGAGGGGAATTGTTGAAGTGGAATAGAGTTTCAGTTTTGCAAGCAATCTACCTGTTTGTTGCATAAAAAGATACATTTAATTAACACTGCTGTACTGTACAGTGCAAAGCGGTTATGAAGTGGCAAAAACGGTTCAAAATGGTAAATTTTATACTATGTGTTTTTTTGTTTTGTTTTATTGGTACCGGGGATCGAACTCGGAACCATGCGCTTGTGCGGCAGGTGCCGGAACCACTGAGCTAAATCCCCAGCCCTATATTATGTGTTCTAAAATGACAGCTAAATAAACAAATGAGAGGAATAGTCCACTCTTTTTTCCAATTAAACATTGCAAGACCCCTAAATATGGCCCATTTAAAAGCTCATCTGGGGCCTGGGATGTAGCTCAGAGGCACTGTGCTTGCCTGGCAAGTGCAAGGTCCTGAGTTCTCTCCCCCATTCCACAGGGAAAAAACAAAGTTCATCTGGTAGAGCGTGACCTACTGTATTCTGTGCGCCTCCACGTAGACTAGGGTTTGGCCAATAACTCCAAAGCCCACTACAGATGGTTTGCATGTTCCCAGCAGTCCTAGGACTTTGAGGAAAGGATCCTACTATCCCAGACAGACCTGAGCTTCATGAAGCTCCTGATTTCCTCTCTGTAAAAGGTACCAAAGGCTGGTAGAGGACAAATATTGCCCATATTGCTTTGTTCCAAGAAAGAAAGAAATGATCAGAGCTACTTTGGAAAACACACTTACCAAACACATGTGCAGTGCTCCCTGTGGCCCAGGGCCTCTTCTGAGTTCTAAAACCTCACTCCTTGGTTTGATCTTCTCATTAGCACCACTTTACAAATGCAGAGAACAGGTAACCTGGCTGAGGCTACATAGTCATTAAGTAGACAGAACAGCATTTAAGTATAGGTGGACTGGGATCTGAGTTGATCCTTTTACCCACTTGGATACAGTGCCTCTCTTCTATGGCCTGCATTGGAACACTTAGTTGAGGTTAACAGGCAGCTAACTAAGCAGCTGTGGATGAGATGTGGTTTGCCCCTCTTATCACATACTGTTGTGTATGTGGACCAGGCACTGTTGTGTATTGGGGGGATTCATCTCTTATTTTGAAATTGGAAAGTCAGGCTATGGAGGCCTCTGTGACCCATGTGAAACCTTTTTACAGAAGATCAGGAATTCAGCCACCACATGATCCCAATCCCTGCTGATTTTTGGGAAGAGCATGTCCCAAATTCCCCCTGGTGTGGAAGATGAGCTTTCCTGGTTCCTGCATTGTTTTGCAAGCAAGTTCCTACCTCCAGTTGCCTAGCTGATGTCTAAGAGGCCTCGTCAGGCCAATGTGTCAGGCATAGCTAAGAAATAATGGGTGGAAGCAGAGCCCATATGACCAGCCAGGTGTTCTTCACACAAAAATGCTGGTTCCTCAGGACGGCAGACTCTAGGACTCTCACCATGGCTGTCCTGTGGCTGGTGCTGCCCCTGGGGCTATTTTTTTCCTGGGAGTCTTTGTCTGGGCTGTCTTTAAGCATTTCCTGACTGCAGATGTCCCCTCTACTATGAAATATCCTGTGAAGTTAAGAGTTCTGCATTGCGTGTTACTATATGTGACCATTTTGGTGAGTTTACTCTCAGACTGCATCATGAGTTGGGGTGCTATCTCTTTACTTTGTCTCCCCATCTCCTCTTTCATTTCTCTTCCTTTTCTCTTGAGATTCCCTCAGAACAGAGCCCAGTACATTTTTATTTGCTGTTCTTTTTCTTCCCGTCTTGGATTTCCTTCCTTCCCTCCTTCTCTCCTTGTCTTCTTTCTTTTCTCTCTCTCAGCTTCCCTTCTTCTCCCCTTCCCTCCCTCCCTACCTCTTTTCATACCTTCTTCTCTCCTGTGAAATGAGGACAATAGTGTCTAGGCCATCAGGTTGGTAAAATCACGACATGTGGGTGGTTAAGCTCAAGTGTGTGAAGTTCGTTGGCTTTTGTGCTGCTGAGCAGATTAGTAAAGTGTGCTTCTGGTGTGGCTGGATGGTTATAGTGGTGTGAAGTTGAGTAATATATGAGCTTACTTACTCCTCGTATAGTGCTAGTCCCCTCTTTGCTTCCAGGCCCTTTTGAAGTGAAAAACTTTTCTTGTTATTGCCCTTCCTCTGTGCTTGAATCCAGCTGATCATGAACTTTCTGAAATACTGTGAACCAAATAATTATCTTATCTTTTAAGTTGTGACTGTAAGGTGTTTTGTGCCGTTGGAGGGAAAGTGACTAATAGAGGAAACTGGTATAGAGAATTGGAGTCTTTGCCATCCCTGTACCTGACTATCTAGTCTAGAAGCATTAGTTTGTGGGAAGAGTTTGAAAGGGTTTGGAGATGCAGGATTAAATAAGTCCTGGAATGTTGTAAGTAGTGCTTGGTGGGTAATACTGGTTAGAGCTCAGAATGAATGTTGATAGGAATGGGAAGCGTAAAGAATAGCTTCCTGAGGTTTTAATTAGGAGTGAGGATTCTTTTGGGAGTTGGCCTAAAGGCCACATGCATATTACATTTTGGTAGAAAATTTTTGTATAATTTACCCCCATCCCGAAACTCTGTGGGTTATAGAGTGATTGCTATGGTGGAGGAAATTTCAGGGTGGCTCAGATTCAGGCTGTGGCTTGGGTACTACTGGGTGCATTCAGCCTGATTTATAGAGAGAATTAGTGGGAAAAATCAAAGTAGAAAAACATCAAATACTTAAAATTTTTCCCAGAAGAAGGATGTTGGGGCCAACGGCAATGGGCTGCAGAAGATATTAGTGCCATCAAAAAGAAACCAAGTACTTACTATAGGAACAAGAAAGAAGATGTGTTGAGGGTGTCTGAAAATCAACAAGACCTCTCCCACTGGAGTCTCAAAGGTGCAAAAGTATAAATATTTCTTTTGAGAAAAGAATTCCTAGAGATCATGTCACCATGTTAAACTATCCAAAGATACAGAGGCTGCTGCTGCCATGGTCCAAGGGGGCCTAGCTACTGCTCATTCTCTTGGCATTGTCCATATGATGTTGGTTTTACTGTTATGTATAATGCAATATTTGCATTATAGGGAGGGTTCTCTCCAGATTTCAAAGAAAAGCCTGGGAGGCTAGGCAAGGAGCTTCAGAGAGAGCAAGTTGTGGAAGTGAAACCGAAGGAGGGGATAGAGTTATCAGAAAGTTGGAGATGCCAGGAATGTGAATGTGGCATATTTTTTGAAGAAAGCTGCAGGCTTGGAGTGGAGTTAGCCCAAGAGAGAGAGTCCATGTGACCTGCAAATTTTGAGGCCATCGGATGGGGCTGCCCAAGCCCTCTGGAACTCACATTTCCCCACCATGTGTCATTAAGCTATAGGACTTAATATTGGCACTGGTAGATTTTGGTCTTGTTTTCTATCCCTCCTTTCCTCTGTTTTTGGTTGGAAATATTTTCTCTGGGCTGTTGTGAGTTGGAATTATGTAAGTTGTGTTTGTTTGTTCACAGAGGTTTTCTGCTAAGAATTAGCTTTGAGTCTCAGAAAAGACTCTGAGTTGGACTTTTGAGACATGTTGGAACTGTTGAGACTTTGGGAAGAGATTATTGTGTTCTCTTTTGTACGTTGGATAGTTGTAAAATGTTAGATGGAATTATAAACCTAGAACAGTGTTTATTTTTAGATTAAATGTGGTTTAAGGCTATGACTTTGGGAGTCAAGTTGACCAACAGTAGACTGTCATGGTTAAGCTTGATTGTGTCACTTTCATTGAGAGCTGCTCAGGGGATCAGTAAAGCATGTCATTGTGTGTGTCTGTGGATCACGGAGGCCTGACCCTGTATCCTGTATTTGGCCCATTAAACATTTTCTCTGGCACTATTCCTCTGCTCTCTCCTGGAAACCATGAAGTGAATATCTTTGCTCCACCATGTTTGCTCACCATGGCTTGAATCTAACCCACAATGTACTGAAGCCATCATGAGCCAAATTAACCTCTCTTTCTTTAAATTGTAGGTATCGGGTATTTTGTCCTAGAGAGGGACTAAATGGAATCTGATAATTGTGGTTGACATGGAAGGCTATGAGAAGTTGAAGTTAATAACCCAAATCTCTTGCACTGGCATGCCATAGGTTTGTTGTAATTGTCAGCTGCTTCTATTTCATTATGACCATCCTTTTCTCCTTATGATGAATACAGACCCTAGGTGCAAGGTTCAGGACCAAGACAACTCAATATGATTGTAATCCACTTAGTATGTGAAATTTGATACTCTTTAAGTGTACTTCAGAAAATATTCAGATATTTGGCTCATGATTAGATTGAGCATGTTCCTTTAAAAACACTTGGTAAATATATAACTCACACCATTACTCACACTTTCTGAGCTCTCCACATTTCTAACTGATCACAAACACAGTGTTTTGCTGAACACAAAAACAGTTAAGGATCCTGCATAACTCAGAGCTCCAGGTGTGCAGTGAGTATTGACACAGGATGATGAACCAGCTTTGCCATCTTGGGCTGAAAAGAGTCCAGCACAGAGGGAGGAGAATGAGGTTGTGAGAATGAGATTGGACAATCAGCTTCGTTCACTTCAGTGTCTTCTTCCACCTCAGTCACAATCTGGGCTGTTACTTTGGCTAATTGATACCCATTTCAGTCTTTTCTCTGTTGCTCTCACAACACACAGAGCAGGTAACTGAGAATAGAAGTTTGTTTGGCTCACAGCTCTGGATGTTGGGAAGGTCAAGAGCACATTTCCCTCAATGGGTTGTGGCAAGGCACCTTGTGTCATCTGGCAGAAAGGAAATTATATATGTGCTGGCAAGACAGAAAACATGGGCTGAATTCACACTAATTTCAGAAGCCCAATCCTGATGTAACTAACCCACTCCCTCCAATGCTAACTGAATCCCAAGTAGTGAGGCCACTACTTAATCACCTTGGAAAGGTTCCACCTCTTAATACTATTACAATGGCAATGAAATTTCAACATGAGCTTCAGAGGGGACAAGCATTCAAAGCATTGCAACATCATTATTCAATTGGGATCTTTTGGAGGAAAACCTGAAAACACAGTTCCCTACCTGAACACAAGGCAGAGATCCCTGTCATGTAATGAACCCATCATACATGCAGCAGACAGGAGAGAAACATGAGACACCTTAGCAGTGGTGAATGGGGAGAGCTCTCCTGATCCTAACCTCAACTCTACCTCACTTTCTTTCTTGTCTCTAACAGGGGAACATACTAGAGAAGCTGAGAATTTGTTCCATGGCCAGCTTTGTCCGTTTAATACACAACAGCCTGACCATAATAAAGAAGGACCCTAAAGTGGTGGTGACCAACCTGTGCTTTGGGATAATCCCTGTGAGGCTGTTCCAGCCCCAGGGAGTGTCCTGCAGCCCCCGGAGAGGCATCGTCTTCTACCATGGAGGGGGCGGGATGTTCGGCAGCCTGGGTAAGGAGCTTGGTGTGGGAAGCTGCCTGTGGTCTGGGAGAGAAAGGGTCCAGGGACACCAGAGCTTCACCCAAGATCCCAGGAGAAGCCATGGAGTGAGTCAAAGGAGCCAGCAGTGGGAGCTTCTTCAGGGAGCACAGAGACATGGCTCGGGGCTCATGTGAGCTGATGGGTGGCCACCTCCACAGGCAGTGGTTCCTATTATATGACAGTCTGGGTCTTGGTAGGAACAGGGATGGCTCAGTGGAGTTGCCACTGTCCCAGGAGTGAGTCCTCATTCTCCTTCCCACTCACAGCCACAGCCCGTGCAGGCTGTGCTACAACGACCCCTACTCCTGCTCTGCCTTCCACTCTGCAGGGCCACTGGGACCCAAATCCACCTTCTCTTTCCCTCACTCTTCACCTGTTCACCCCACAACTAGTCTCCATGCTCTACCTCTCACCCCTAGATCTAGCCTCTGCCCACAAAAGGGATCTTGCAAAACAGTCAGAGTTTGTGCCTGCTATGCTTCAGCCTCTGTGAGCCCTGCACTCCTCCCCTCCAACCTGGTCACCCACCTTCTGCCCTCCCTCTGCTGCAGCCCCTGTGCAGGGCTGTGCTGCAGACAAGCTGGGCTCTTCCTCCTTGTCCTTCGCACTTGCAGTGATCCTGTCCTCAAAAAATGCTCAGACTTTCTACACTTGATCTTAGCCAAAAGGCCGAGAAGCAATGCTCATACTTTCTTTGGCTAATGACCCCTTTTTTCTGGTCTGATCAAATGGCCCTCCCAAAGTGGCCGTACCCACAATATCAGATCTCAGGACTCTCTCTAACCTACCCTGCACCCTGTCTCATCCCTGACCTCATTCTTATCAAATGTCTCTGGAACACTTGTCACAATCTGAGCTGATCTTGGTCGACTTGTGTTCCTTGTTTTCTGTCTGTCTGAATTAGAACTCCAGGTGTGCATGGAAGGCTGCTACCTTCTTTAAGGCTGGGTGCCAAGTTCCTAGCCTCCTGTATTTATTGTTTAAATGAAGGAATAAATGCATGAATAACTAGATGGATAACAAATGGATGGATACAGGCATTCATGCATGGAGAGATACAATGTCTTGTGCAATCTGCTTGAAACAAAGGCTTTCTTATTGCAGCCTGATGGTGGAAATAGCTATCTATCAGGAGCTATTGCTCTTTAGGTGAACGGTGCCCTTATTTAGAATTTAATTGTGAGTATCTCTCATCTATGGGATCCACTCAGGCACATTCTTCCCTCTCTAAAGCCTATAGGTGCTCCATCCTCCAGGTGCTTGCTTATGCTGAGGGATAATGTCACGTTCAAAGGTAAAAGCAGGATGCACCAGTAAATGTTTACTGAACTCCCACTTAGTGTTAGGCCATTTGCTGGCACAGTGGAGATATGAGAACAAGAAAGACTCTGTCCCTGCCCTCATGTACCTGTCAGTCAATGAGGCAGCTGGACAATGCAGGAGATTTCAGAGGTATCAATAATTTCACATGTTAATAACCTAGGCTATTGAAATAGAGAGTGACCCAGAAAGTCATTACAGTTTAGAATCTCAAATCAGGCCAAGCATCTCTGAGAAGGCCAGCATTGAGTCCAAGCTCAGCAAATGAGGAGGAGCCAGGACTACAGAGAAGGAGTGGAGGAGAGCCATCCTGAACCATGACAGGGACCTAGGGCAGCCTCGTGGGGCACATGCTTTGGGCTCCCAAACACAGAGTACTGAAAACTTAGGAAGATGAATAATATTATACTTCAATGCAATATTTAAAAAGCAATAATAATCCAAATCTATGATGAACAAAGTATTAAAATTCATATACCAGCAGATATCGCCAAGGTAGAGCAAGTTTTACAAGTGCAAAGAGGTAGCCTGTTTAAAACTTTGATCATTTGCTTATCACACACGTTTCAGCATTAATTTTTGTGTGCTACGATACTGCATCACAACATCTATCTGGAAGGCTGAGTGTCCTGGGGCCCTGGATTTTGCACCCACAGTGGATGCCTCACTTGCCCTACCCTGACCCAGCCCTGCTCAGTGTAAGCATTAGGGGGGCAAGGGGAGAGCTCTAACTCTAAAACAGGAGCAGCTTGGGGCCTGGGGGAAGAAGGAAGTCAGGGTGGCAGAGTGGGAGACGAAGCTGGACAGATCAGCAGGGCCCAGGCATGGCCTGCAGAGGTCTAGGCCTTGGCTGTCTTTAACCTCTCCTGGGAGCTTTAAGGTCCTACCCAGCCCTCCCCGAAGCTGACTGAGTCCCTCTCTAGGGTGATCCTAGGTCTCAGATTACCTAATACACAGCAGGGCTGGGATGCTCTGGTGCAGACCCTGACTCAGCCAACCCCTGTGTGCCCCCCTCTGTTTTTCCTCCATCCTCACTGCCCTCACAGTGTTGGTGAGGCTTTCATCTGCTTTCCAAGAGATCCAGGACACTGGAATCACCTAGTGTGATTGGGAAGAGCCTGACACCCAAGCCTCCACCCAGAGGCCCTGAAAGCAAGCATTGGTGAGGTCAGGCTGACAACATGGACAGATACCCTGGTGCCTCTGTGTTCAGACAACGACGTGTATTTGTCAGGGGCTGGGCCTGCACTGCACCCAGACTCCCAGCCCACAAATGTGAATGGTCCATCTTGTAGAACTTCAAGTGTACCATCCTGTTAATAATCATGTCCCATACAGCCATTTCTTATTTCCTAACTAACATAAATTCAAAATATTATTAATATTCCCAGCAGGCATGCACGACTTGCCTAATCCTGGCATTATACTTTTCAGATCCCTAAGCTTTCCTGGTTCCCAATTTCTCTCAGTGTAAAATTGGGCTCCAAGTTCTACTCCATCAGGGGCATTCATGAGATTGGGGTCATAGTCTGCTTTTCCCAGGTAGAGTTCACCAAAGTCACTTCAGAGTAGGAACAGGGATAGGACATCACCCCATGCCCATGGCAACTGCTCTCCCTGGGGCTGGGTGCGGAGATGCTGGGCCTTCCTCGTGGGCTGCACTGGGCCTGGTTTTGTCTGGCAGATTCTTGCCACAGCCTGTGCAGTTTCCTGGCCCGGGGGAAATGGACTCTGTGGTCTTCTGTGTGGGGTGAGTTTCTGAGACAGTGCTTGACTCTTCCATGGGGATAAGAAGCTATGGAGGTGTGTGTGTGGTGATTGGAGAAGAAAGAGCAAGGCCCTGACCCCAGAGGTGCTCATGCACATGTGCTTGTGACACAGGCCCAGCTCCATTCAGAGCAGCACAAGCCTGGAAATAAGCCCATGGCAGGTGAATGTGCTGAGCCGCTGAGCAATAATCGTAAATACAAGACTTCAGGGCCCTGAGCTGCCATGGAGCGTGACCTGGACAATGAGTAATGATACGGACGGGCTCATCGAGGTGTGAGTGAATATTACTAGTGCAATATTTAGTGAAAATCTTTAAAAATTTCCCTTAAGCTTGATACTCTTTAAAAAGTTAATCATTTTCATTAGCTTATGCTCACAATACATACTAGTAATGTTCATGTTAGTAAATGCATATTACAGGTCTCTCTTTTTTTTTTTTTTGGTACCGGGGATCGAACTTGGGACCTTGTACTTGCGAGGCAGGTGGTGGAACCACTGAGCTAAATCCCCGGCCTGCATTTTTGATCCCTTCATCCTCTTACACTTATCTTTCTCCCACTAATCTGCATGCCCATTCCCAGGAAGAAGTTTGCCTTCTTTTTTTGCAATCTCTATTTTATTCTTTCATTTATTTATTATCTACTGGAATACTTAACTTTCCATGTCTGACTTATTTCACTTAGCAGTATGGTCTCAAGTTCCTTCTATTCTCCTACCAGTGACTGATTTCATTGTATTTTAAGGCCAAATCTTCTATCATCTATCTATATCATCTAGTCACATTTTCTTTACCCATTGTGAATTGTACTACTACAGACATGAACTTGTATACCTATAGTGTGACATCTTTTTTTTCTTTTTACTTTCTTTGGCATCTTTACTGAAAATGAGTTTATAATATATTAATTGTGGATACATTTTTGGACTCAAAATTCTTCTCTCTTGATCTACATATCTACTCTAATGTCATTCCCATTCTCTTTAATAAGTATGTTATTCTTTTTTTAAACTTTATTTTTATGAGGACATATTTGTCATACATACTGATCACATTCATCATAGGAAATTTGTACCTGTACATAATATATCTTAATTCTTTTTTTTTCTCCCCATTCCCTTGCCCACTCTTAAACCTCTTCTCTCTTCCCCTTTAACAAAACTTTTGTTTCCATTTTTCTCTTCCATTCTCTTTTTCCTTTTCCCTTCCTTCTCTTTCCCCTCCCACCTACCTTATTCCTCTGCCCATTTGAACATTTTTTTCCTACTTCCCAATATCTACCATTCATTTTTGTCCTTATTTACACTTTTGGTTTCTTACACAAGAGAAACAATTTGATATTTAAATATGTATGTCTGATTTATTTGACTTAAAAGTATGGTCTCAAGGTTCATTCACCTAAAATGTCTAGTTTATCCTTCTTTATGGCAGAGTGTACTCCATTGTGTATGAAAGCCATATTTTCTTTCTTTTTTTTTCCCTGATACTGGGGATTGAACTCGGGTCCTTGTGCTTGCCAGGCAGGCGGTGGAAACACTGAGCTAAATCCCCAGCTTAACCACATTTTCTTAATCCATTCATCCATTGATGGACATTGAAGAGGTTCCCAGATTTAGCTATTACAAATTGTGGGGCTATAAACATGGGTGTGCATATATCACCGTGGTATGATGCTTTTAACTCAGGAAGATATCAAGAAGGGGAATAGCTGGGTCAAATGGAACCTTTAATTTTAGATTTTTAAGGAATCTCTAGACTGATTTACATGTTGGTTGTATGAATTTACACTCCCACCAGCAGTGGAGGATTCCTTGTCCTCCACAGCCTCACCAGCATTTGTTATTGATTGATGTTTTGATGGTAGCCATTCTTATTCTTTTGGGA